TTATACAAACTTTCATGCAAAGCAATTGTTTTGGCTTCAGTATTTTAATGGTGTTTAGAAATCCGAGATGGGGCATTCACCTGGAGACGAAATTAAGAAAGGCATGACCACAATAGGTAACCATGAGAAAAAGGAAGTCTAAAATCATCGGGTTAAATTACATAAAAAATGAAAGAGAAATCAAATTTACACGGGATGTTATAAGTACAAAAGAAGGATAAAAAAAGGCTTAAAAATGATAAGACCATTGACCCACTCCTAATAATGTGAAAACATAAGCTTGGACTTCTATATAGATCATTTCACATCTAACTCTTATATATGGTAATTTCTATACTATTTTTCTAATATGATCCTTTTTAAATGAATGTTTTTTTCCAAATTAGTCTATTTTCGAAATAAAAATACATTAATTATGAAAAAATATTTTAACTTTTATAGCATCTCTAAACTTTTTTCGAGTTAATCGCGGAGGCTGTGACTTCAAAGCAGTCCCTAAGGGAAATGCAAACGCGTACGCTTGGTAATTTTCTGATACTCTTGTAGGGCACTAGCGGTCCGAAGGGAATGGGAACGATGCAAGTCATCTTGACGCATGCAACTTTGCAATTCTCATTGCCTTAGGACAATACAATACTAAAAACTACAAACATAATTTTATAAATTTGAAGTAAATGTTTTAGATTATTCACAATTATTCAAAGGAATATCATGTAAATAAAATATTAATTAATAAATGTTAAAGAAATCGCCCTAAATTAGAGCAAAATATAAAGAAAGTATAAAATAGAAGTTCTTTCTTTATGTTTTACTCCTATTTATGATGATTTTTTAACATTTACTCCATCTGTCCACAAATAAACTTTTCGTTGCGTGTTATGATGTTTGATTGAAGTTATTTTCAAATCATTTAATATGAAAAATGGTGTAAAAAATTTTTTAAAAAATTACATATTAAAAACTATATCAAAAGATCTACAAAACTCGAGGTGACATTACTATATTATTTTATCAAATGGGTGACGAAAATGGGCCAACAAAGTGAATAAAGTTTGACCATGTGAATAGTGAACGAGAAGTTTATTTGTGGACGGAGGGAGTATTAAAAATTTAATTTACACGATATTCTTTTAAATAATTGTAAATAATCTAAAATGTTTACTTTCAAAATTATAAAATAATATTTATAGTTTTTAGTATCATGTTGCCATCCTATAAAATTTAAAATAGGGAATTTATCTAAATGGTACTAAAACATAATGACTTTCCCAATGTAGTATCATATGTCTTTATTTCCCAATATAGTACCACTAATAATTATCCACTGGTCATTATTCAAGTAAGTGTTCTGTAACACCCGCCTTCCGTAGACCCGGTTCACCCGCGACCCAACGGACCGGTAGGGTTACATGGGCAGTCCTAGAACCCTCCGTAGAGTAAATAACATTAATGTTTATTTATTATGAAACAGTTGTGTTTAATTGGTGACATAAATGCTAGGAAGTTATCGTCAAAACGTGTATGATATAAATGCAGAGTAAATACGGAAGTAAATAAGTAAGTCCAGTCCAAAATAAGTAAAACAACATATGGTGGGTTCATGCCCAAATGATTAATAAATTAATTAATTAAATATAAATATTAAACTCGTCCGCGCGCCGTCCATCCTCCCACCATCACTGTCCTCCAGGGTTAGCACCCGCACCGTCATGTCTACCTGCGTGTAGCAAAAACAACTACACGCTCAGTTAAAGCTGAGGAGTGCATCTAACAAAAGAACATAAAGTGATAACCCACATGGTTATTACATACATATTAATACCTGTATTTAACGTAAGAAAAACTACATGTTTACTAACTGATTAGTTTGCACCTGTTGGGGTACTATTACATATAACAAATGATGTACTACTACATTGAATATGGATATGATGGGGAACATACATGTTGATGACATGACTTAAACTATCAGGGACACCCCTGGCTTAGTCTCACTTGACAGGATCACCCATGCACTCCGGTTATCATACCGAAACGGTGATGAGCCGGGCTCAACGTAAACGTCGCAAGTGGACTAGCAAAACCATGTGGTAGCCGTAGCCTGACTACCATGTACGTACACAAAGCCCACCTGATGAAAACCCGTTGGATCTCAAAGGTTCCTTGACGGGCCCACTGTAGTAGGCGCACGAAAGCCTGTCCCTACAGCGGTATGCACATCATGATAAACCTAGGACATGCGTCTAGGATGAACATGATGAATGCTTGATATATTTACCTTTGGTCAACGCCAAGAATATATCAACTAAATATCATTTGTAATGAAGATTAACATTTCATACAAACATACGATCAGATTCTGGTTCAATATGGTCAACGGGGCTCGTTCTACAAACTGGCCGAAAATCTGCCCGCGGAACGGTCGACCGTGCCCTACCAGTGGTCGACTGCGGGCTATGGTCTGGGTCTGGGTCACAAACGGTCCACCGTCGCGGCCGGCGGTCGTCCGTCACGGTGGTGACCGTCGGAATGGCCGAGGGAACGGTCGACAATCCGTAGCGGCGATCGACCGTCCCGAAGACAGTCTTCTGTCTTTGGCTTCGTTTTGGTCCATTTTGAAAACTTAACACCTTGATTCTTTTTAGAACAACAATACAAACGTTGATGTATATATTCCTAGTGATTCCTAGGCCAATAAGTACAAGTTTTACGTAGTGAACATTTTGATGGCTAACCTATGAATATGCATAGATTTTACGTAGGTTGCGTACGATATTCTATGAATATAACAACATAGATTATAACTAGATGTTCTAGAATTAGAGGGGACAACTACTGACCTCTAAAAGAAGGGGTTGACGGATTGGTGGAATGAGATGAACGAACAACGTTTAGCAAACGGACGAATGCGTACGGTGAACTACGAACAACGTACTGCTTCCCGTGTGAACTTCTCCTCTTCTACCTCCCCGTCTACCTCCCGGAAAACCCTCTAGAGCTGCTATGGCCTAGCCGAAAATGCAAGGGGAGAGGAAGGGGGAGTGATTGAGTTATGGAAATGGGGGTTACAAATGCTAAGGAAATGAAGAGGAGAGGGGGGGTTTAAATTAGGGGAATGAATGGAATTGATGAGAGATTAAATGAAAATGATGATGGTGAGTTCTGAGTGGCGTGGGTTTTGAAAGAATTAAATGGAGAATTATCTCCCTAATTTCTATTTCGTTATGTAAAATCTAACCTGAACGGTATGCGGTTTCCCCCTCGAACGGGTCCAAATTGAGATCCGTTTGCATTTCTGGAATAAGACAGTTAAAATGAATTTATTGACATGTTCAAATAATTTTTCTAAGAACTTTTATTTTTCTTCAACTCTGATCCGGAATAGTAATTAATTATTTAAAATAATCAATTCTATTAGACCGGGTTGCAGGACGTTACATGTTCAGCACCATTGGAGATGGTTTAAACTAAATGTTCCCCATCACTAGACATTATTCTCACCACTAGACATTATTCAAGTACTATTTAGGAAATCAAAAAGTGTTAGTACTAAATTGGGAAATGACATATGTTTTAGGACTATTTAACGCAAATTTCACTTTAAAATATTGTTTTCATAATTAATACTCGAGTATATTTTTATTTCCAAAAAAGACCAATTTGAGAAAATACCCAGTTTGAGATTACCATTTTTAGAAAGTAGTATAGAATTTCATGTTGTTTTAATGCTCTTTTAATGGCCGTTAGTTGGGAGGACTGAACTGAACATTATTCTCAATTAATGAGTACCATTTTAGATTACTTAATTTTAGAGACTTATTTGGAAAAACATATAGTTATTAAGTATATTTTAGGCAGTATTCTATACTCTTGATCTAATTGAATTTGATCTGAATTTTTAAAGTTTTAATTAGATTTGATTGGATCTGATATGACTTAATTGAATCTGATCGGATCTAATTGGATCTGATATGATCTAATTTGATTTGGTTTGATCTGGTTGGATCTAATTTGATCTAATTGGTTTTAATTTTATTTAATTGGATTTGGTGTAAATGAATTTAAATTTGATTTAAATTAAACTTAAAATCATTACAAAATTTAATAGTTTCAAAGTATTACAATTCATATATACATAAGAAAAGTAAAACAAGAAAGTGAGCTAATCTTGATATATTTAATTTTTTTTGAAATATTAAACATCTTTTCAATACCACTAGTTTTTTAATCTTTGTGAAAACTAAATAATTGTTATTAAAATAACCAAATAGCCAAATAATAATAATATATAAAATTATAATATTAATTAAGATTTAGGTGTGTGTAGCTTTAAACAAAGTAATATAATATTAATAATGTTTAAAATTATAATACATTAATATAAATATAATAATAATATTTAAAATTATAATACTCCTTCCGTCCCACAAAAAGTTCGCATTTTGATGTATTTTTGGTCAAATAGTTACACGCTTTGACCATAAATTAAATATAACTAAATAAAGAAATGCTAAAAAAATTTGAGATATCAAAATTAGATACTAAGATGAATTCAATTATATTAAATTTATTTTATAATTCAATATATATCTTTTTTACAATTTATAGTCAAAGCATGTAAATATTTGACAAAATACTATTTAAAATGAGAATTTTTTTGTGGGACTAAGGAAGTATTAATTCAGATTTAGGTGTGTGTAGCTTTAAAATTATAATATTAATATAAATATGATTTTTTATACTTTTTCCTAATTTAATACTCCCTCCGTCCAAAAAAGAACTTCCCACTTTCCTTATTTGGTTGTCCACAAAAAAACTTCCCATTTTCTTTTTTGGTAAAAAATTTATGTTAAAAAGACATTATTACCCTTATCATCCTAAGCAATTAACCCTTCTACCAACCTCCCTCTCGCCACTCATATTTCTCTCTCGTCCTCTTCCACCTCTCTTTCTCTTTAGTTTCTTCATCTGCATCTCTCTCTCTCAACCCTCTCATATTTTCTTTATTCCTCTCTTTATTTATTTGGTAATTCCATCCTCTCCATCCAGTTTGGGTCGCTGCTCAGGCGAGCCGGCTTCCTCCCCATTAGATCTAAATATATCTCTAAATAGATCGTGACATCCTCTTTGTTTCCGATTCGTGTTTTCATTTTTTAGATCTACTTTTTCAATTTTTTGGACGAAGGGGGAGATGGAGTGTGACCATTGGGTTGTGTTGACGGAAGATTGGAGGAGTTGGGAGGCTGACTGGGTGAAGGAGAATGATTGGGTATTTTGGGAAAGTCAAACACATTTTTACTCTACCTTAATTTGCGTGCCGGGTCAAACCATTTGGACGACGGAGGGAAGGGAGTAGTATTAGATTTAATTTGATCTGATTGAATCTGGTGCAAATTGATTGGATCCGATTGTATCAATTCTGATATGATTTGATGGAATTTGATCTTGCTCATCCGGTAGAAACATTGGGGGGTGTGAATGGCGAAATCTCTCGGACTGACGTGCAGGAGGATGAACCAGCCAAGGAAGCAACCGATGCTGTCGAATATGCTCCGCCACTCCACTACCGGCCTCGATCGGCATAGCCATTGTTGCCTTCGGTATATACCGCCACCGCGTGGGCGGAGCCGCCTGCAATCAGATCTATGCTCATTCGCATTCTGAATCGCATTCTCACTGATCGAGAACAATCATCGCTTACAAGGTGATCGATCTCACTTTCCATCATTTTCTCCTTTCTTACTGAAAATCTTTAATAATTGACTTGTGCTTATGTTGAAAGAACATTTCTGTAGTTGAGAATTAAATATTGGAAGCTAAGAATATGGATTTCTAATAATCCCGAGTCCAGTTTTTAATATGGATTAATCATAACCTCAATTTTGTGTATGTATCCACTTAGACAGAAATGTCTAATTATGCATAGATTTATTGATATAAGAGTTACACCCTAAACTCGGGTATTAAGTATATCGATAAACTTATATGATAAACAAACCAAACCGATTGAGTGCAGTTCAACTCGGTCCAAATTGAGAGTTTTAGTGGGTTGAAATTCAATCCCTATTTATCGACGGGTAAAACTGGGTCTCGTTTTATGCTCCTTTCCAACAAAACATTGCATTGTCGATGTGGGGTTTCAAGTTTCAACTCTGCCGGAGCAGCATGTGGCGGGGTAGTAGGGACCTTTTCCTCTTCTTTTTTCTCAAACTCCATCAGCTTATCTTCTGCTTTATTCTCTGCTTCTTTAGTGGTTGTGCTCTTGGTAGCTTAGGGTTCACAGTGTGGTGATGTGCAGACTTGTAGTGATACGATTAATGGATTATTTTTAGTGTAAAAGAAGAAATTTTAAATTACTATAGTAGTTTAGAAGCGTACGAGAAAAAAGAGTGGTTATTTAACAAAATTACTCTTCAGTTTGGTTTAATATAGCCCCCACTCAATTTTCACACTTCTGTTAAGAGCAATAATCCTTCACTTGAAGCCAGCCTATTCTACAAAGACTTGGAGTCAACAATCCATTTATGTACATGAATTTTCTAAAGAGAGAATGAATGGAGCCATTTACCATAAGGCAAACATTTTATATTCATGTTGAAGAACAACACTATTGAAACTATGCGTACACATATTAAGTATGTAAATGAGAATGTTTTGTAAAACTTGCGTAAGGCGGTTTTGCGATTCATGAAAGCTCAACCCATAAGCAGTGACAGATCTAGGAATTCAGAGAGTTGGGCAACCATTTTAATATGCAATATAAAATTATAAAAAATGAATGAATATATTTAAGATATTTATTGAATGTGAAATTTTTGAATAGACTGTGAAATTTTATATTATTATAAACAACTAATTATATGCAATGTACTTATAGCCTAATTAAATACCCACGTACTGTTTTTTAACCCTAGACCCAAAAATTAGTTGGTGATCATGGACCCTACTACTATATCGTAGATTCGCTCGCCCCTCCCCATAGGATATACATCGCCCATCACAAAATATGGTTCACATATGATCGGGTATGGCTATTAAGAAAGTTAAAATTGTGTGGTTGGAATTTATGTAGAGGAGACACAAATTAAATGTAAAATTTTAGTACTATTCCTCAAGGTGTATGCCTGGTAACAAATTACCTGAAATAATTTTGGAAATAAACTTCAAACATGAGTTTTGGTTAGTGGGAGCATGTAAACTCACTTTATTATGTTTAAAAAATTTATGCAATATAATAAAATCTTGCATTGATGTCGACAATGCTAGATTGAGAAAAACCCTTCTATGTGTGTACTTATGCTATTAGTTTTAAATCTTGATCTTGGATTGGTATCCATATATCTGGCTTTTGTGAGCTGTAGTTTTCTCAACTCCCACAGTCCCACTGACTCTGATCTTCTATGGTTCCTTTGAGCAATTATTACTTCACAGCCCGGTTTCAATATGGGTTTATAATTATTTCGCATTGGTGTGTAAATTAGACCTTAATGCATGAATTCAACCAGCTAGAATATCAATATAAAAAATGTTTGAATTTGTTGGGTAGCTATGTGGCATGTGCACATTTGTATAGATTTATTGTTTATAGAGTAACACCATACAACCTAGTATACCTATTTGGATCAACTTAATAGGGAGTTATAGGAAAAATAACCAAATTAAAAAAATGAAAACAAGCCATATTAAACAGGATTTACACAGCCCTGTTTTAAAGGTCATAGAGTGGCTAGCATCTGTGTTCTCTCTATTGTTTTAAATATACTCAATGCAGTTCATACTTCATAGTAATGGCTCAGCCTTCCTATAACAAACCACCCATTAAGAATGACCAAAGAAATAGCTAAAACACTTAACAGTTAAGCAATTTAGCTAGTGGGAAAAGAGCCCATAATGTATGTGAATCATAGTGCATTAGGAACATAATTAGTGGATGATATTTTTCATGTCTTTCTACTCAACCCAAAAAGGTGCTTTGATACTATGTTTCAAGGAATTTGGTAGGAAGAAGAAGATAAAATGTTAGGGAAAACCATTTTTCTTGCTTGGATAAGGATGAAAAGAAGTGAGGGAAAAGTGAACTAAAAAGGGAAAAATCAGTTCTTTTCACATTATGTCTAGTACAAGAAATTTGATAAAGAAAAAAATGATATGGAAAACTATTTTTCTTGTTTGGTTAGAGGGGAAAAGAAAAGAATGTTAGTTGATGTGCCCACGCCTGAGCGGGGGGAGGGGGGAATAAGGCATTTAAATATTTTTGGGGTTTAATAAAATCGGTGTCGGCAAATGTGGAAGCAATGTAAAAACGCAGAAAATTAAAAGCATAAAATAAAGACACACCAATTTTATATTGGTTCGGGAACTCTATACTCCAGTACCTTAAGGCTCATCCTTAAGGATTTCCGAATCCACTAAGCCTCGGTCTCTTGAACCCCGTCAAAGCACTCCACTAGTTTGGCAAATAACCCTTTCCAATAGGATTCAACTATGAGATTTCACCACGGCTATCTCAAACTTGCTTACAAGTTACAATGAAGATTCCACGGTTATCTTCAACCATTCCCCCCAAGGATTTGAAAGGCTATCCTTGAACCTTCTACCCAAAGATTTCTCTTCTATCCTTAACCGTTACAACTTGAGAATTTAACGGCTATTCTCGATAGTAAGAAGATGTGTGTGAAATCATAAATATAGGTTCTACACAACAACTTGATCACAAAGATGAAGAACAAAATTTCGCCGGTGTAGAACAAAAAAAACTCTATAGAAGATACAATATAAACCTATGGATATGAGAGTATGTAACTAAGCTACAAGCTCAATAGTGTGTGTATGAAAATCAAGAGAAAAATGGCTTAACACATTTGAAAAATGAAATATAGAGTTTGGGAGCTTGAGTTCTCGCGTTGAAATATGAAGGAATAAGTCCATATTTATAGTGGAAAATGTTAATTAGCCGCTGGAGATTAATTAGGATAGATTTTGACTAATTAAAGGTGATTAGTTTTGAAAACCGGAATTTAAAAATTCTCCAACGGTAAGGGTAGCATGGTACCAGACAAGTGGTATCTAGGTACCAGACCGGCGGCACTGAGGTACTGAGCTGGCGGTCTTAGGGTACCAGCACAGGCTGTTTTGCTCTGGCAGAACCTAGTGAGGTACTGGTGGCGGCGGTATAACCTACCATTAGGGGGTACGGGACTAGGTACCGACCCACTGATCTTGTTTTTCCAAAATTGGCTTAATCCTTTCCGTTTGAGTTTAAAACCTTTTGGATATTTGAAAATGATAATGTGAAGGTTTTAAACATTTTTGTGAGTGCATTTAAGCTTTTGAATATATAAAATCATACCTTTACATCTATTTCTACCTATATTCTATGCAAGTTTGGTGTTTCAACTTTGTTCTTGAGAACCGTTTCTTAATGGATTCTTGTTGTACCTGAAACACTCAAACAAACATTAGTTCTTATATTGTTTGTTAACATTAGAACACGAGATTTAGCAAACCAAGGCTAACAAAGAAAAGTGGAAAAAAAGGAAAATGAGATAAAATATAAACAAAGAAGATGAAAAATAAAATTCCTTTCCATAAAGGAAAGCAACATTATTCTTTTGCTTCCTTATTTCTCAAAGCAAACACAATGTCAATTTGGTGAGGAAAAGATAAGAAACTAATGTCATCAAATCCTTGCACCCAATCCTTCACCACTCAAGCGTAGTTGTTCATTTTCTATCTCTTCTCTCCATTCAATCCCTTACGCTTAGTAATAATAATAACAATAATACTAACAACAACAACAACAATAACAATAACAATAAAATTAATAATAATAAGGTATTTTTCTTTCTGATTTCACTAAAAACCAATCAAAACTAGGGTTTTGGATTTCTTTAGTTTTCTTTTCCTTTTCTTAACATTTTCTTTTCCTTCCTAACTAGATTTGTACCCTCGCGATGCGCAGTCAAATACTAGTGTTAAAAAATTGAGATGGAATAAGTAGAATAACAACGTATTAATGAAAAGAGAATGATTAGAAACTTTAAACCATTGGAATAAATATCAACGATCAAACAATGATATATTAGAAATATTTTGGCATGAAGAATTTCAACAACAATCAAAAGACAATTTTAACAAGAGAACTTGGCAAGAACAACATGCATACATCCAATTGGACATTCTCAAGACCGACCCTACCCCCTGGAGAATAGGCTCAATCTTTGATTATCACGATCAATTTGCAAAAGAATGTTTTTTAAGGAAAAACCAAAAAATGTGAAGCTTAGATTTAAAAAAGAATCAAAGATGTTAAGGTTTTCGAAGTAATATTTGAGCAGAAATCTAAAAATCTACTTGTATAGGTAAATCGTTCATATCTATAAGACTATAAGTTCATGCATGTCAAAACTAAGAATTGTCAAATCCGCTATAATTAATCCTATTGTTAAATCTGAAGGCCTTGTCCGCGAAGAGTGAGAAACAGTAAATGCAGTAAAGGGTTTTCACTAACTTTATATCTCCATGAATCAATCTTATCTCAACATTTGTTCCAACCAACCAACAAACATAATTTTATGGATAAATCTATTTGTACCCCAAGCTTTTGTACCCCATTTGTACACCGCAAGTTTGTACTGACATTTTGTGTTGGTGTAAAACTAAGTTTCATCAACGCACCAACACTTTGTGTCCGTGTAAATTTTTGTTAATGCACCAACACTTGTGTCGGTTTAAACAATCAAAATGTCAGTGTATAGCTGTAGTGCACAAATGGGGTACAATTTTTTGTGTAAGTGTAGCATGGTCCTAATTTTATTCAAAACAAATA